AAAGTCTACAAATAAAGTCTACAAATAAAGCATGACACTCAAATTACTTCAGGCAGTAGACTCCACAATCACTACTCTGATAGTTCTGAGGTATCTCCTTTGCTGGTACTCGCAAATGTGTGAAACGTGGATAGGGGAATTTTCACTTGTCTTCAGTAGGTGCATACGTTTACAGAAGGTAAGGTAGCATAACAGCCAGAGACTCCACAGCTCCTTCAATAGTGGTATCAGAGGCATGAGTCGCCTCATGACTATCCCATATTGTGATATGCCTCGTCAGAAATGATACTCAGATAGCTACTTAATGGTTCTTGCTGATTTGCAACATTGAGTACAAATGGTCGACTTCTTAGGCCCACGTCTTTTCAGTTTTACAGACCGGTAATTGTCCTTTGTAGTATGAACGCACCAGGTGGTAGAAGTCTACCTGAACCATCTGCATTTGGGTCCGACTTAAAGAAATCATTGTAGTCACGTCTCCAAGTCGTAGAAAACATTGAGTTGAGGAAGCAAAGCCGATTTGACCAAAACCACTTTGGATGCTTAGCGAATCGAAGCCTCAATAAGTTAATATAAGCTTCCATGTGCTGCACTGATAAAAATCAAACATTAATAAAGTCTACAAATAAAGCTACAAATAAAGTCTACAGATAAAGTCTATTACACAGGTTCTGGCAGATGGTTCTGGCAGACTTCTACCACCTGGTGCGTTTTCATACTACACAAGAGAGTTACCGGTCTGTAAAACCAAAACAATAATACAACACATTTGACATGTTAATTATGATAGGTCACCAAAAAACTTCCACACCTATCATCTAATATTGCTAACAATGACCTGCAATATGTGGTTTGTAGGTCATTTATGCAAGTAACCCAAAAGTTGTCAAACAAAACAAGTTAGTTGTGAAAAACACATACCATAAGGTTTTCAATCATAGAGATCCAGTCCTGTAGTATCCAAGTTCTCTGTCCCACGATAGCTTGTTTCATCAAATATCTTTGCAGCCCATTTTTTCTTGATGGCTTTGATGTTTTTATCACAAAGTTGCGGAGAAAATGGCAAATCCAGAGCATGACACTCAAATTACTTCAGGCGGTAGACTCCAAAATCACTTCTCTGATAGTTCTGAGGTATCTCCATTGCTGGTACTCGCAAATGTGTGAAACGTGGATAAGGGAATTTTCACTTGTCTTCAGTAGGTGCCAGAGGCTCCACAGCTTCGTCAATAGTGGTATCATGAGGCATGAGTCGCCTCATGACTATCCCATATTGTGATATGCCTCGTCAGAAATAAAACTCAGATAACTACCCAATGGTTCCCACTGATGTGCAACATTGAGTACAAATGGTCAACTTCATAGGCCCACTTCTTTTCAGTTTTACAGACCGGTAATTCTCCTTTGTAGTATGAAAAAGCACCAGGTGGTAGAAGACTGCCATAACCATCTGCATTCGGGTCAGACTTAAAGAAGTCATTGTAGTCGCGTCTCCAAGACGTAGCAAACATTGAGTTGAGGAAGCAAAGCTGATCTGACCAAAACCACTTTGGATGCTTAGCGAATCGAAGCCTCAGTAAGTTAATATAAGCTTCTATGTGTTGCACTGATAAAAATCAAACATTAATGAAGTCTACAAATAAAGCTACAGATAAAATCTACATATAAAGTCTATTACACAAGTTCTGGCAGATTGTTCTGGCAGACTTCTACCACCTGGTACGTTTTCATACTACACAGGAGAATTACCGATCTGTAAAACCAAAACAAAAATACAATACATTTGACATGTTAATTATGTTAGGTCACCAAAAAACTTCCACACCTATCATCTACAATTGCTAACAATGACCTGCAATATGTGGTTTGCAGGTCATTTATGCAAGTAACCCAAAAGTTGCCAAACAAAACAAGTTAGTTATGAAAAACACATACCCTAAGTTTTTCTATCGTAGAGATCCAGTCCTGTAGCATCCAAGTTCTCTGTCCCACGATAGCCTGTTTCGTCAACTATCTCTGCAACCCATTTTTTTCTTGATGGCTCTGATGTTTTTATCACAAAGTTGTGGAGGACATGGCAAATCTAGAGCATGACACTCAATGTACTTCAGGCAGTAGACTCTACAATCACTACTCTAAATAGTTCTGAGGTATCTCCTTTGCTAGTACTCGCACATGTGTGAAACGTGTTCAGTAGGTGCGCACATTTACAGAAGGAAAGGTAGCATAACAGCCAGAGGCTCCACAGCTTCGTCAATAGTGATATCAGAGGCATGAGTCGCCTCATGACTATCCCATATTGTGATATGCCCCGTCAGAAATGAAATTCAGATAGCTACCCAATGGTTCCCGCTGATGTGCAACATTGAGTACAAACGGTCGACTTCATAGGCCCAAGTCTTTTCATTTTTACAGACCGGTAATTCTCCTTTGTAGTATGAGAACGCACTGGGTGGTAGAAGTCTGCCAGAACCATTCGCATTCGGGTCAGACTTAAAGAAGTCGTTGTAGTCGCGTCTCCAAGTCGTAGCAAACATTGAGTTGAGGAAGCAAAGCCAATCTGACCAAAACCAATTTGGATGCTTAGCGAATCGAAGCCTCAGTAAGTTAGTATAAGCTTCTTTGTGCTGCACTGATAAAAATCAAACATTAATGAACTCTACAAATAAAGCTACAAATAAAGTCTATAGATAAAGTCTATTACACAGGTTTTGGCAAATGGTTCTGGCAGACTTCTAACACCTGGTACGTTTTCATACTACACAGGAGAATTAACGGTCTGTAAAACCAAAACAAAAATACAACACATGTGACATGTTAATTATGATAGGTCACCAAATGACTTCCACACCTATCATCTACAATTGCTAACAGTGACCTGCAATATGTGGTTTGCAGGTCATTTATGCAAGTAACCCAAAAGTTGCTAAACAAAACAAGTTAGTTGTGAAAAGCACATACCATAAGGTTTTCAATCATAAAGATCCAGTCCTGTAGCATCCAAGTTCTCTGTCCCACGATAGCTTGTTTCGTCAAATATCTCTGCAACCCATTTTTTCTTGATGGCTCTGATGTTTTTATCACAAAGTTGCTGAGGAAATGGAAAATCCAGAGCATGACACTCAATGTACTTCAGGCAGTACACTCCACAATCACCACTCTGATAGTTTTGAGGTAACTCCTTTGCTATTACTCGTACATGTGTGAAACGTGTATAGGGGAATTTTCACTTGCCTTAAGTAGGTGCACACGTTTACAGAAGGTAAGGTAGCATAACAACCAGAGGCTCCACAGCTTCGTCAATAGTGGTATCAGAGGCATGAGTCGCCTCATGCCTATCCCATATTGTGATATGCCTCGTCAGAAATGATACTCAGATAGCTACTTAATGGTTCTTGCTGATGTGCAACATTGAGTACAAATTGTCGACTTCATAGGCCCACGTCTTTTCAGTTTATATACCGGTAATTCTCCTGTGTAGTATGAAAAGGCACCAGGTGGTAGAAGTCTGCCACAACCATCTGCATTCGGGTCAGACTTAAAGCAGTCATTGTAGTCGCGTCTCCAAGTCGTAGCAAACATTGAGTTGAGGCACAAAGCCGATCTGACCAAAACCACTTTGGATGCTTAGCGAATCGAAGCCTCAGTAAGTTAATATAAGTTTCCATGTGCTGCACTGATAAAAATCAAACATTAATGAAGTCTACAAATAAAGCTACAAATAAAGTCTACAGATAAAGTCTATTACACATTTGGCAGACTTCTACCACCTGGTGCGTTTTCTTACTATATAGGAGAATTACCGATCTGTAAAACCAAAACAAAAACACAACACATTTGACATGTTAATAATGATAGGTCACCAAAAACCTTCCACACCTATCATCTACAAATGCTAACAATGACCTGCAATATGTGGTTTGCAGGTCATTTATGCAAGTAGCCCAAAAGTTGCCAAATAAAACAAGTTAGTTTTGCAAAACACATACCCTAAGGTTTTCTATCATAAAGATCGATTCTTGTAGCATCAAAGTTCTCTGTCCCACGATAGCTTGTTTCGTCAAATATCTCTGCAGTTCATTTTTTCTTGGTGGCTCTGATGTTTTTATTACAAAGCTGCGGAGGAAATGGGAAATCTAGAGCATGACAATCAATGTACTTTAGGCAGTAGACTCCACAATCACCACTCTGATAGTTTTGAGGTATCTCCTTTGCTGGTACTCGCACATGTGTGAAACATGTATAGGGGAATTTTCACTTGTCTTCAGTAGGTGCATACGTTTACAGAAGGTAAGGTAGCATAACAGCCAGAGGCTCCACAGCTCCGTCAATAGTGGTATTAGAGGCATGAGTCGCCTCATGACTATCCCATATTGTGATATGCCTCGTCAGAAATGATACTCAGATAGCTACTTAATGGTTCTTGCTGATGTGCAACATTGAGTACAAATGGTCGACTTCATAGGCCCACGTCTTTTCAGTTTTACGGATCGTTAATTCTCCTGTGTAGTATGAAAACGTACCAGGTGGTAGAAGTCTGCCAGAACCATCTGCATTCGGTTCAGACTTAAAGAAGTCATTGTAGTCGCGTCTCCAAGTCGTAGCAAACATTGAGTTGAGGAAGCAAAGCCGATCTGACCAAAACCACTTTGGATGCTTAGCGAATCGAAGCCTCAGTAAGTTAATATAAGCTTCCATGTGCTGCACTGATAAAAATCAAACATTAATGAAGTCTAAAATTAAAGCTACAAATAAAGTCTACAGATAAAATCTACTAATAAAGTCTACTGTTGCATTATACGAGTATATTTTCACAAAATGAGTTAAAAAACCCAAACCATGTTAGCTAGCCATTGCTTCGATGTTCGCAGTAAGAAGTACCATTCGATCATAGAGAATTTTGTACGTTTTGGCCATATCCTATAAATAAACAAGTCAATCAAAGGAAAATAAGGATATAAATCAATCTACTTATGGGTATGCTTTAAAAAAAATCCATTACGGGTCCGATTTCACAAAATCCATTAGAACCTTGTGCTTCTGCTTAATACCGCTTTGATCGAAAGGATCATATCCACGATCTTGGTAAGGACCCAGCGTTGGAATGATTGTCTTTGAGGTGCTATTTTCTTGGAAATGACTATTTTGTGTTGCAGCAAGCTTACGATTCGTCTCACTCTTTGCCCGGGCCACTATCAGGACCGCTGCTCTCGTTTTACTATTTTCTCTACCTGAATCCCGTTGAAATCAACATCACACATCGCTGGGTCAAGTTCCACAACACTTGTTTCTGGGTTTTCTTCTAGGTCCACAGTAGCCTGCTTTGCTTTTACAGCCCCGAGGGCATTAACACTCTCACTTATACCAACGTTGGCATCACCTTTCTTACTATCATCTTCTTTCTCTGAATAATTCTGCAATTTAATGTGTCAAACAGGAATAAATATTCAAATGACAACACCAGTTTTACAATTTAGTAACATGTTTCACAACTAAACATAAATGAAAGTCTGTAAATTGGAAAAAACAAGTTTTGAAAACATAAGTAAATAAGTTCACACAGTACAGAACAATATTAAACATGTTCGAAATTCAAGTGACTTCGTTATTATTAATTGTTTCTATCTTTCGATGATTTTTTCATGTAACGTTTTTGTATATTCGGAGGGCTTTTGGTACTAACCCCTTCACGCCTTGTGTTGATGGTGTCTTTCTGCTGGCTCGGATCCACAGTGTTTTTAACCTCTTCGTCAGTATGCTTTGCTGTCCTTGTTGTCACCGCCTCCACTGCATGATCTACTGCTTCTACATTATCGCTGAGGAGTTTGATCTGCTTTTCACAGCTACCAAGTTCAGCATCAGAGGCGGACCTACATGTACCCACACTGTGTCAGTTGACACAGTATAAATTTGTTTTTTTTACCACATTTATAATTAACTTTTTCAACCCACGTTATTTGTTCCTTATCAAATATGACACAGTATAACATGTTATAATCGATGCTTTGTCATTACTTAATTTAACTTTTGATAAAGCCCATTAAACATTTAACTAACGTCCACCCATTATAAATAAAGTCTTTTTACACATAATTAACAATTTAAGTATCTCACATTGCTAGTATGTGGGCATAACTAAGTTTTTATAACTCTATATATATTTTTTATTTATTCATAAAATAAGACACAACAGGTGATATTATTAAGAGTTCCACATTGGTAAAATATGAGCATAACTAAAACTTTATAATATTATATATACCTTTCATTCTTCATTGAATAAGTCTAATGTTAAAAAAAAATGTTTATAAAAAAAATTCATGGAATAAATCTTTATTTCAATAGTTTTGTTGTCTTTGTTTTATTATATAAAATAAATAATTTGTTTATTTTATTGTAATTACATATACAGATAGAAAAAAGTATTCCAGACTATTACATATGAGTTTGTCACTGAAAGATTTCAGAATATGAAAAATGGTATAGGAAAGATCGTATAATGATTTTATAAGGTAGATTAATTTTGTAAAATTTTTATATTAATAAAAAAATTATTACTAATATTATAATTATGTTTTGACCCAGGTTAAAAAAATTCCTAGGTCCGCCACTGTTCACCATCTTGGTTGAGAAGCTTTTGAAGCATTGGTTGAAGTGCGCTTTCATAGTAGCGATAACTCCGTCCCCTTGATCACCCATGTAAGAGGCAGCAGACGCAGCGACTGTGCAGGGTTTCTTCCAGCTTGATTCATCTGAGGGAAAGCTCTTTTTCTCTACTTTGACGGTGTATGAACCCAGAACACCTTCCTGAGGCCAATTTAGGGTTAAAGAATGCATTGACAACACTGAAAATGTTGGGATCTTTGTTGCTCATCATCCCAAACTGGAAACATATCCGCCAAGTCCTTAACCACGCAGCTCTATATGCGAGCCTAGAAAATGAAGCCTGCTTCGAAAGTCAACATATGAAATCTACTACTGAAGTCTACTACTGAAGTCTACTACTGAAGTTTATTCGTTAACGAAAAGTAAATGAATTCTTCTAATGAAGTCTACTAGTGAACAAAACTTCTAAATGAGAAGAATAAAATGTATTTTAGCATGTTGGCTTTGACGTTCTTTCGTCTTCTTGATCCTTTGTAAGCCAGCAGAAGAGGTGGTTGTTCATTTGGATTTAGGGTTAAACAATGCATTGACAACACTGACAATGTTGGGATCTTGTTGCTCATCATCCCAAACTGGAAACATATCCGCCAAGTCCTTAACCATGCAGCTCTGTATGCGAGCCTAGAAAACGACAATTCAAACAAAATGAAGTCTGCTTCAAAAGTCAAGATTTGAATTATACTATTGAAGTCTACTACTGAAGTCTATTCGTTACCGAAAAGTAAATGAATTCTTCTAATGAAGTCTACTAGTGAACAAAACTTCTAAATGAGAAGAATAATACTTATTTTAGCATGTTGGCTTTGACGTTCTTTCGTCCTCTTGATCCTGTGTAAGCCAGCAGAAGAGGTGGTTGTTCATTTGGCAATGGGTCTCTAAATTCAGCAGAAAAATCCAGAAGAGCATATTATTCCCATACTTGAAGAGCTTGCACAAATCCTTCTATAGTGATATTTTTGCTGAGATCTTTTTCCTAGACAGACTTGATCAGATGCTGAAAAGCAAGTCTTCCCCATGGGAAACTCTTAAAACCTTTGAGATCTACCACGAGTTTGGCATGGCTAGTATTCGTGGGTGAGCCAGGTTTTGTTGGTATGATAAAAGCAGCGTAGATCCCAAGGTATCCCAAACACAGCCTATCATTCCGAGACCATGATGAGTAGTTGGAACAGGATTCTATATTATCAAGGGTGTTTGGCCCTAGAGCGACATTGACCCCCATTTGCTCCAAGAATACCCGCATGTCCTCCAAAAGCTCAAGCTCAGGGAGAGCCAGATCATTCACATACTTGCAGTTGAGTCCTATGATTTCCTCGAACTCATGGAATGAAAATTTCACTGGAGAGGTACCAATCAAGCTCCAGATCTCGTACCTCTGATTGCAAACTATCTGAAAGGTGAGAATGTGGTGCACCAGCCTAGACGCCCAACCAAAATCCAAGTCGTGGAACTTTAAAAAGACACCCAACGGTGACTCATAAATCTCTTCCCATTAATATTCTCACAGAGCTTCCCGTAGTGTAGGAACCAGCTTATAATCATCAGCATAATAGTCAATGCTTTTGTCTGGGAGTGGCTCACCGCCTTTAGTATACAACCTTCACGGGAATTCATGGGCCGCCATTATCTTACACAGTATTCTACAACAAACGGTTTAACAATTGTAATCACAAGCCTGATAAAAAGAAACGGTTTAAAACTATAAGCGAATGCAGTCTACTATATTCAAAATAAAGTCTACTTAGTACAATTAGAAGTCTATTCAAACATCAAGAAGTCTACAAAAACCAAACGAAGTCTACTCAAAACTACAGAATATGAAGTCTACTATAGTCAATTAATCTAAAAGGAATCTACAAGGCAGATAGTGGTTACCGGCATGATGAGATGCAACCGGCGGCGACGTGGTGCAACCAGATTGGCAAAAATATACTATATATTGTCACCCGCCGAGACGAAGATAGAGGAACATAGAGGAAGATAGAAGAATATAGAGGAAAAGCTATCTATATAGCTTCGGAATGACATCTCTTTACCGTTTTAAATCAGGAAATGACGACAGAGTCAAGCGGCGAAAGCAGATCTGCTAAAAAAAACCCTAACTTCAGATCTGGCCACTAGTGATGAACACGAAGTGGTGATGAATACGGAGGAATAGGGAAGCAGGGGGATGGAGATGGATGAAGATGGAGGAAGAAAACTTGCATGGAACGGGTTATCAATGTCGGTGAGGAGTATATCGGCAGCGGCATTGAATAATAACATAAATCGCCTTCGAGAGCTGGCGCTTTTTTTTCAAAGGGAAATCCTCGACGGTTCTTTATTTTTACAGTATCTGTAAAATCCTATATATAGTCTGGGTAATTCTGTTCAGTTAGAAGAATATTTCCTCGGTTAGGTAATTATTATTCAGTACAATATGGTTTACGGGAAGTATTTTTTAGTTACGGGAAGTTTATTTGTTAGGGGATGTTATTTTTGGTTCAATTCTAGTTAAATTCCCGGTAAAGTTAATTTATTCGGTTTATCAGACTTCCATATTGAAGTCTACTAAATCAAATATTTTGCTCTTCTTAATTTGAAATCATAAATTTAAACTTATGAATATGAAATAATAATTTATATACATTAGGATTACCAATTTCTAATTTATGATTGCAAATTTGAAACCAAAATTATTTTTAAAATTAAATTTTATGATTTAGTTGCATAGTAGACTTCATAAGTCTACTAGTAGACTTTTAACTGTCTAAAGTAAACTTCGTCAGAGTTTAAACCGTAATTAGGACATCTATTTTTTATTTGGTCATATAGGTTATTTTTGTCAAATGTTGCATCAGAGATCTACTTTTGTATTCAAAATCAATATTTAAGTTATTTTTTACAAAAACTCCTTTTTTATTTCAAAAACATTTCTTGCAATATATTCAAAATCAATATTTAGGTCATTTTTTACAAAAACTCCTTGTTTTATTTCAAAAACATTTCTTGCAAGCGACTCCATATATGTTATATATGTTAAGAAATAAACAATTTCCGATGAAATAATTGTATCGTTTGATTTTTCTTTTCATGATTTTTTATTTAGATTATTGAGTTTCCTAAAGGAAAATTAGGTGGGATAGCATTCTCCAGAGTTTTATTTAGGTAGATTAAAACCTATTTTTTTAATCGTGAGCAAAGACATCAAACCCCCTCATCAAATTTAAACAACACCTGTTCTTTTAAACCACACCAATAAAACTTTTATAGATTCTGACAATTTCTATTTTCAACACCACCATAACTTTTGCTACAAAACATTTAGTTGAGCTCGTTATTTATCTTTTTTAAAAAAATTTTGAATTGATTCTCTTTCTTTCAAAACTTATCCAGAAAATCTCATTTCAAAAAATCTCTCAACTATTGGAAACTCAATTTCATTTTCAGACATCCACATAATTCTCTACTCTCTATTTCTACGGCGAGGTCTTGTCCGTCCATCTTATTGCTCCTTTCGTTTTCTACGACGAAGCTCTACCATCCCTCGTTTTCTCCGGTTCATCACCTTCCATAACATTGCTGATTTTTTCGCCTGCCAAGTACTTGTGCCAGGTACCGTTTTGATATCTGGTTTTCTTTTGCTTCTTTCTACTATTTCTGTTATGTTTATTGTTCTCGTTTTTCTTCAGTATTATGTCCTTGTTCGCTATTTTTTCACATCTGGGTTTCTTGATTTTGTAGATCTAGAATTTTCAAATCTTACTTATGTAGTTAACTATTTACACTATCTTTAGTAATCATCTACTCATGATTCCTGCCAATTTGTACTCTGTATTTTTCCAGTACAATTGTCTTTTTGTTTGTTATCCACATCTGGTTTACAATGTATTCAGATCTAGGATTTGTAGATCTTACCTTCAATATATAACTATTGTCATCGTCGTTAGTAAATGTCTACGCACGTATTCAGTTAGTCTACAGAACTACTATACATGAATAATCAACTATTCTTTTGAATAACAGTAGTTATTTACGTCACAGTAGTAGTTATTTAGTCAGTAGCTAACTATTTGACTGTTTTGTGTTTAAAGGGATATGTATACTCTTCAACAATCCGAACCCACACCGTTTGCAAACAATGTGCTCCCCAGATTCGTGATGCACTCATTGATATTTTTGAAAGAGTTGGTAGGGTATCGGCCAACGATGCTTGTCCATTTGCTTGTTCATGTAAGTTTTGACAGTTCCATCATCTTTTTCATTGTTATCGATATCTGGTTCTCTTGATTTTGTAGATCTAGAGTAGTTAACTATTTTTATATGCATACTGAGTAAGTAGTAACAACATTGAATATGGTCATTAGTAATCGTCTACTCTTATCATCTATAACAGATACAATAAATAGATACTCCATATTCAGTTAGTCTACATAACTACTATGCACATATATCCAACTACTAGTATAACTATCAGTAGTTAACTACATTACGATAGTAATCAGTTTACAATAGTTAACTTTTTGCCATTTTTCCTTTGTAGGGATATGTGTTCTCTTCGATGTGAACCCACACCGTTCAAAAATAATGTGCTTCTCCAAATTCACGATGCACTCATTGATGTCTTTGTAAAGGTTGCTAGAGAATCTGCAGAAGATGCTTGTTCATTTGTTTGTTCATGTAAGGTTTTAAACCAAACATTCAAGGAACCATCTCTCATCAAGGCGCTCAACCTATCTGCCTTCATTAAACAGCTCAACTTAATAAAGTGCTACCCTGAATTCTTTGAGTCAGCGAAAATGGATAACTACCAATAATCGACTTTGAGTAGTAGCTATCTAATCGAAGTAGACAATTATTAATACTTACTTAAGTATTAGAATCAACTTTCAGTTTTATGGAGAAAATATACAACTACTAATAATCGACTTGGAGTACTAGCTATCTAATCGAAATATGTTACAAAGTAGTCACCATCTCCGTGTCATTCAAACGAAGTTTTATTTTAAACATAGTCACCTACTAGTAGTCTTCTACTAGAAATATATGAACACAACAAACATAAGAATTAGAATTAAAAGGGACGTCTATACTGAAGTAATAGATGACTAATTGGTATATGTATGTTTACTTTTAACTTGGTGCAACTATAGAAAGTATCGTCCATAATATATCACATTTTCAGAGTGAGAGAATGTTTGTCTGAGGGGAATGCAACTTTTTATGAAAATAGTTGTCTACCACATATCCACATACTCTGAGCTAATGATTTTCTATGAAAATAGTCAACTATGACTATAAAGTTACCATTGTGACACCTCCCAAGACACCTGCTGCAAAGTTTTGTCGCATTCCACAAATTTCTCTGTGTCATTCAAACGAATTGGATCAACCACATTTCAACCACAAAGTAAGCAACTATGACACATTATATTAAAGCTGACTATGATACAAACACTAAATAGTTGACTACGTTACCTTCATTTCTTCTCGGGATGGGATCTTTATTTTCTTTGGTCGACCATGTGGTCAACGCATTACTGGAGGAAGTAGTTCTGAGACACCATAACATACATGAGTTGGTACTAGGTGGAATGATTATTCATAAAGGGATCTCCAAAAACTAGTTGTGTACACTTCTCCCATAAGCTTCTCGTTTGCAATGTTGCTATAAGAAGAAGTTGCCGATAACTTGTTATGTACACCTCTCTCCTATTCTGTTGTAAACTTCATATTCATCGTGGCCGACAACAACCACCTACATTTTAAACATAGTCACCTATTAGTAGTTGTCTACTATAAATATACGAATACAACAAACAAAATAATTAAAATTGAAAAGAATGGCTATACTGAAGTGATAGGTGACTACTTAGTATATGTCTATTTACTTTCAACTTGGTGCAATCATAGAAAATATCGTTCATAATGTCTCATAACTTTAGAATGAGAAGATGTTCATCTGAGGCGGATGCAACTTCTTTATGAAAATAGTCGTCTACTACATAACCGCATACTCTGAAAAAATATTTTTTATGAAAATAGTTAATTATTTCATAAAGTTATCTCAGATTTTAAATGATTTGAGCAAAAAGACACCGTGTATAATTTATTAAGAAAATACGAATTATAACGCTAAAAATCAGAAACTTTGAATGTTTGGTTCATGGATGTTGTGTTAATGGCTATTTATCTAATCCACTAGGGTCCTCTCGAAATTAATCTAGTCGTACACGTAGTACTAAACGACAATAACGTTTAAAGCTTGCTAAAGTAACAATAAAGTTTACGTTGCTATTGTTTCATAAAATAGTTAACATCTGCGTCTTGGTGAGTTGGTGTGGTCCCAACCTTGGTCAAAAAAAGCAATGTATAGATTTAGAGAATAAGAAGTGTAATGTCATTTTTACATATTTTTTATTGTTGATTTCTGCTACACATTTAATTGACTGCTTTTCTATAGTATTCACTTAATTTGTTCTACCATAAGTAATATTAATGCAAATCACCCTTTCCTAAAAAGAATCTTCCACCAAAAATGTCTTTAATTCCCCTTTTACTTAAAATGGGAAATTGATTAAACTACTGACTCACTATTGATTCTATCGGTATGCTATATGGAAGACTCTCTCTCTGTTCTCTCTCTCAAAATCTTTCTCTCTCTCAAAATCTTTCACAGAGAGAGTGTTTTCTCTTTTTTGATTTTCGACTGATCGGATGATAAATTCTGGCAAAGTCCGGAGTTCTTTCGGCTATGTCCGATTTGTTTCCGGTTTTAATCCGGCTTCTCTTCCGACTCGGTTCAGATTTGTTTGTTTTGTTTTAGTTTCAAATCTTTTGCAGATCAAGGAAGTTATCCGATCCTGGAAATGTTGGCGATTTAGTTTTTGGATCTCTTGACC